TTTACACATGTACAATGTGACTTATACACTTCACAATTTAGTATCTTGACTAATTTTTAAGTAGTCCCAGTTACAGAATCATTTTGACATCATAATGTCTTTAAATTAATTAATTAACCCTTTATTCTCATGCTTATGACCATGTTTTGCTGTATCTGCAAGATGCATGCAAATAAACCGATAATCGATACTATAAAAACAGGCCAATAAGCCGATATCTGATATGCCAAATTGCCAATCCGATTATCGGTACATCTCTATTTATGATACCTCAGTTTCTTTTGGTTCCACCATCATGTCGTATTCAAACTTGACTAGTACAAAGTTACTAATATTGGAAAATCTTTCTTTATAAGATGGTTTGAAGACCTAAGCATATAAGTACAAGCAGAGACCAAGAAAGAAGGAAAAAGCAATGATAACATAACTAACAACAAAATGACATAATCCTCCCTCACTAGTTCTTGATTAATGTCAGATAAAAATTCACAATCAAGAGCATAAGATTCTTCATCATAAGGATCATGCCAGTACTGTGCTTGAACTAAGCTAATCCAAAAAGTGATATCATGTGTATTCATTAATATACTTGTCTTGTATGACTGATCAATATGTTCCCATTCCTAAGAATCTTCTAAACAAATGGCACAATATGCTACTGCTTCCTGGGCAAAACGGAAAACCATAAACGCCATTATGCTGTCCACCCAGTGATATCAAATTGTATATCTTTACAGAGCCACATCTCTGGACTAGTGCACGTCTATAATAAAACAAAATGTCACTATGTCAGTACATTACAGTATACAGTGGGTATATTGAGGGCCATAGTTTCCAACAAAGCATGTTTCATGAACTGAATATTGCTACAATAGTACATGCATGTATAATGAGTTTTCGAACAACTTTAAAAATTTGTAAAAAATTCAATTTTGAACGGAATCAGCTAAAACTTTCACATAACAAAAGAACATGTACATAGTTGCCAACCGTCCCGGAATGTCCGGGACAGTCCCGGATTCACTGCTCAGTGTTGTCCCGGAGGGGTCCCGGATTGTTCTCTGTCCCGGATCAGCCATTTTTACAGTCACACCCATGTAAAATTGACCACTCCCAGTAATAAAAATTCAATTATTATCAATTATAATTATAGCTGCATGAACAGTGAGCTCAAAAGTTAAAATTAAGCTCAAAAATGAACTTAGATTGCTGCTCAGGAACTGCTGCAGGTATTTAAGAGGTGATCAACATCAGTCCTAGTGGGTGTGGTTCTATGGGTGTGGCTTCATGTCCCGGAATTCAGTGACAGAAAGTTGGCAACTATGCATGTATATGCATTTTAAAAAATTATTTTAAAAATGAAGAATTCTCTTCCTTTAATTTTGGCGAAATTTGGTCAAAAACCCTGTACTATAGTACAGGGACTTGGGGCTGATTTTGGAGTAACTTTAAAAATTTCGTTAAAAAATCAAATTTGATCGGAATCACCCCAAACTTTCTGCACAATATAAGTACATGTACAATGTATATGCATCAGGAAAAATTATAAAAATAAAAATTCTCTTCTTTTCATTTTTGGCAAAATTTAGCCAAAAACCCTGTACTACCTGTACACTTTTGAAGCAACTTTAAAAAATTTGTAAAGGACGTTCTACACAATATAAGTACATGTACACTGTCATTATACATTACAAATGGAGAAATCTCTCCTTTTAATTTTGATAAAATTTGGCTGACAATAGAGGATATGCATGCTAAGTATATTCATAACTTTTGAGTACCGTAATCCAACCCACACAATAAATTGGCCACCATGATGGACGTCAAGTTTATTAAGAGTTCAATGGGGGAAAACACATTTTCTTGCCTTGCTACCTTCTTGAGGCCTTTCTCAGAAGCTTAGAAAGCATCCTGAGGATCTAATGGGGTCTAGTAGTCACTTGAAAGATTGCTACTATGAAATACAGAGCGGTTTCCTGGTGCCAAGCCTTTTCTATCATTTCTCCATTGCTGCCAATGGAAAGTTGACGTCCAACGAATTAATTTTTTTCCTTGAAGTTATTACGGTATGCAATCATGAGTACAATTTTGCAATGAATATACTTAGCACACATATCCTCCATAACTTACAGGAACTGTGATCCCTGAGAGAAACCCATTGCATTGAAACCATTAGCTAACATCTCATCTGATGATAGTAAATCACAAGCTAGTTCAACCTGTTTATTAGAATCAAGAAAGAAACTGTTGTATGAATCCTAACAATAGAAAGAAGAGGAGGAGAATGATGACCGAGATATTGCTGGTGCTACCATAGACCCTTTATTTACCTCTGTAGGAGTCTTTCCAAAAGCAACCATTTTGATATATATACCTGGTATAAGACGTTCCAGGACAACTTTAAACTGATAAGCACCATATTCATAGCAACAGCTGTCACCTACATGTAAAATATCAAAATCAACACTGGAAGTGTAAACTTGACTTTTAAATTTGTCACAAGCTATCTAAACCCTTGCTTTAATAACTAACCCATTCCAGACCATATTACAAGCGGAACTGGGCCTTCCTCACTAGCACTAGATGCAGGAGGAGAGAAGAATAGGGCAATGGCCAAAGCAGCAAGCAGAAAATCATCCATTTTTATAAGAGTTAAAAATTAAAATAGTCCAATATACGGAGAATAAGCGGAATAAACTAGTATACTGTAAACACGTGACACAATGCTGGTTTAATAAAAACAATAAATCATAGATATTATATTATGTTAAAATTCAAATTTCAATGGATCAACAAGACAAGCTTGCTGTGTTGCTTCTACAGTAGCTGGAGCATCTACAACAGAAACAGTATTCATTTTACTATTGCAATATTTTGCATGAACTTACTTAAAATAAAAGGATCACTATTACCAGCATCATGTCTAGCACTCTCCACAGCTCTTTTGAGAGCAAACAACACGCCACTGCTCATCAGCAATGGAGGCTCACCAACAGCTACAAAATAAGGACAATACCATGCATTAAACCACTGCATACTAATAGTAGAGTAAGAGTTACCTTTAGAGCCAAGTATTCCTAGAGGATTTGGTGCATTTTTAAGCAGCTCAACTCTGAAATCAATGGGAATATCTTTAGTAGTGGGTGGCTTGTACTCCTGAATAATAAGAAATATTATTAAGAAACAAGAACAATAAGAAGTTTTAGAAAATAAGCATATATATAGTTATGCTTACCCATGTGTTATGTGTCAGCAGTGCTCCTGTATCTTTATCATAGACAACTCTCTCAGTTAAGAAATAGCCCAATCCCATCACAAATGCACCTTCAACTTGTCCAACATCAATCTCAGGATTAATGCTGTAGGCAG